TGAAAGGAGTGATGAGAACATAAGAAAATTGGACAGATTTCATGATACCCATTATATTGAGTATGATCAGCGATCAGAAACATTTTGTGTGACTCAGATTAAAGATGAAACAAAAAGTTGAGCAATATTTGGGGAAGGATTGGTACATTATCACTTTTAAATGTTAAAATGTTAATCTCTTAATGTCTATTCAGTTTCAACTGTCTTTGGCAAGAATACTCTATAAACATTATGCTGGTTAATTGATATTGTATTATCAAAAGGCTCATGACATATGGTTTTTCTTTCTTTCTTTTTTTTTTTTTTTTTTTTGAGATGGAGTCTCCCTCTGTTGCCCAGGCTGGAGTGCAATGGCGTGATCTGCACTCACCACAATCTCTGCTTCCTGGGTTCAAGCGAGTCTCCTGCCTCACCCTCCTGAGTAGCTGGGATTACAGGCGCCCGCCACCACACCTGGCTAACTTTTGTATTTTTAGGGGAGATGGGTTTAGCCATGTTGGCCAGGCTGGTCTTGAACTCCTGACCTTGTGATCCCCCTGCCTCAGTCTCCCTAAGTGCTGGGATTACAGGTTTGCCACACACCCCCCACCCGGCGGCATATGGTTTTTGTACCTTTAGAGATAGATACCTAGATTGATGAATGAGTTTAGGTGGTGAGATTGCAAGATTCTTTGTTAAGCTCTCATTCATTAATGATCTTTCCAGAATCAGTTATTTATTTGGAGATTGTAATATGGAGTTTTGGTTTTGTTTGTTTGTTTCCAAGACAGGGTTTTTCTCTGTCACCCAGGCTGGAGTGCAGTGGCATAATCTCAGCTCACTGCAACCTCCGCCTCTTGAGTAGCTGGGATTATAGGCAACTAACACCACGCCTGGCTAATTTTTATACTTTTAGCCGAGATGGGGTTTCACCATTTTGCCCAGGCTGGTCTTCAACTCCTTACCTTAGGTGGTGCGCCCACATCAGCCTCCCAGAGTGCTAGGATTTCAGGCATGAGCCACCATGCACAGCACGGCCTTCCTGCTTTTTAGCAGAGTAAAATGTCTGAGCCTATGTTACATAGTACCTATCCTGACTTGGAATGATTTTTTTCCCTACAAGAAGTCCTGGTTCCTTTTAATGGGAAATGATATTTAGAGACCACAATCTAGACTCAGGGATACTTTTTCCTATTGGGCTTTCACTGTCCCTAGGCTTTTTTGGTGGGTAGTGTTATGTAAGAGTTTTGTTTTTTTTTTAATAAGAAGATCATCAGTTTATATGTATTGACATTTCAAATTCAGATTGTAGGTAGCATGCTTAGTTTCTTTGTTTTTACATTTGTACCTCTGTTCCCTTACACTGAAAGCCTCAGTTCTCAGCAGCAGTAATTCAGCTATATGTTTGTTTTATCCCGATACAGTGTATTCATATCCTGATGTGCATTAATAATAGGAAGTGATTTTTTAATATGGTAGTATATTTCATAATACTGGTATTACTGCTGACACTACAACTTTTTGCTGCTCTTCATTTCTCATTATACTACATTTCTAGTAAGGCTGTACAGACAAAATATCATATTCCAAAGTCACTTGAAATAATCCTCTGGGCTGGGTGTGATGGCTTACGCCAGTAATCCGAGTACTTTGGGAGGCTGAGGTGGGTAGATTGCTTGAGCTTACGAGTTGAAGACCAGCCTGCCCAACATGGCAAAATCCCTTTTCTATAAAAATTAGCCAAGCATGGTGGTGCTTGCCTGTAGTCCCAGCTACTTAGGAGGCAGAGGTGGGAGGATGGCTTGAGCCCAGGAGGTGGAAGTTGCAGTGAACCGAGATCACACCACTGCACTCCAGTTTGGGTGATAGAGCCACACCTTGCCTTAAAAAAAAAAAAGATGGGCCGGGCGCGGTGGCTCAAGCCTGTAATCCCAGCACTTTGGGAGGCCGAGGTGGGTGGATCACGAGGTCAAGAGATACAGACCATCGTGGTCAACACGGTGAAACCCCGTCTCCACTAAAAATACAAAACATTAGCTGGGCATGGTGGCGCGTGCCTGTAATCCCAGCTACTTAGGAGGTTGAGGCAGGAGAATTGCCTGAACCCGGGAGGCGGAGGTTGCGGTGAGCCGAGATCGCGCCATTGCACTCCAGCCTGGGTAACAAGAGTGAAACTCCGTCTCAAAAAAAAAAAGAAAAAAAAAAAAGATGATAATAATCCTTTATGTAGTTATATGCACAGCTTGATACACAGTTCATTTGTTTCAGTTTATTTTCTTTTTTTAGGGATTGCATTTCTTTAATAACTTTAAGTTTTGAAAATGTAGAACATTTACATTATTATGAATTCAAAACTATGTAACTGGAGATATTCAGAGAATTTTCACTTTCATTTTTTCTCTAGGTAATGGTGTCTTTCTTTTCGCTTATAAGTAGCCATTTTTATTGGTTTTTGGTTATTCTTCAATGTTTCTTGTTTTGTTTTGTTTTGTTTTTGAGACAGTCACACTGTTGCCCAGGCTGGAGTACAGTGGCATGGTCTCAACTCATTACAGCCTCTGCCCCCTTGAGTTCAAGCAATTCTCCTGCCTCAGCCTTCCGAGTAGCTGGGATTACAGGCACCTGACACTAGGTCCAGCTAGTTTTTGTGTTTTTAATAGAAACGGAGTTTCACCATCGTGACCAGGCTGGTCTTGAACTCCTGAGCCTGTTATTCACCTGCCTCGGCCTCCCAAAGTGCTGGGATTACAGGCATGAGCCATCGTGCCTAGTTAGTTTTGTTTTTTTTAATAAATAAAAGCAAAATCTGTTTATAAATTTGTATTTCCTCACCTTCTCATACAAAAGGGAGCATAAGTATTTTTCTACACCTTGCTTTTAACATTTAATCTTGGAGATCATTTGGTGTGAACATAGTGATCATCCTCAGTTCTTTCTACAGTGCATTGTATTTCACTGTGTATACCATCTTTTATCAACCAGATGGGCATTGTCTTTTTTCTTTATTTTTTTTTTGGAAACAGAGTCTCAGTCTGTCACCCAGGCTGAAGTACAGTGATGCGATCTCAGCTCACTGCGATCTCTGCCTTCCAGGTTCAAGGGATTCTTCTGCCTCAGCCTCCTGAGTGGCTGGGATTACAGGCATGCACCACCACAATGGGCTAATTTTTGTATTTTTAGTAGAGATGGGGTTTCACCATGTTGGCCAGGCTGGTCTTGAACACCTGACCTCCAGTGATCCACCCACCTCAACCTCCCAAAGTGCTGGGATTACAGGTGGGAGCCACTGTGCCCACCCCCCAACCTGTTTTTTTAGACAAGGTCTCACTTTGTCACCCAGGCTGGAGTGCAGTGGCACAGTCACGACTCACTGAACCCTCTGCCTCTCCGGTTCAAGCGATCCTCCTGCCTCAGCCTCCCAAGTACCTAGGACTAGAGGCACACACTACTATGCCTGGCTAATTTTTATATTTTTAGTAGAGATAGGGTTTCGCTATGTTGGCCAAGCTGGTCTTGAACACCTGACCTCAGGTGATCCGCCCACCTCGGCCTCCCAAAGTGCTGGGATTGCAGGTGTGAGCCATTGCTCCAGACCTTCATGAACATTTTCTTTGTTTTTGGGTCTTTTACCATTTTAAATACTCCAATGAATAGCTCTATAGAGAAGTAATTTAGTATTTTTTTTTGTTTTAGTGTATTTTGGGCTGGATTTCTAGACATGGGATTGCTATGTTAAGTAAATGCATGTGTAATTTTCCCTTCGTGTATTATAAAACTTGGATTTTTGCCAGTCTGATAACTGAGAATAGTTTCTTCGTATAGTTTTATTTTACTTTCTCTTAGTTTCATTTGGGCTTGTTTCCATATGCCTAAAGGCCATTTTCTTTTCTTTTGTGACTGTTCACATATTTTCCCATATTTTTATCAGGTTGTTGGGTTTTTTCCTGAAACCCGACATTATACGTTAGAGATAGTTACTGTAGTAGACTGTCAACCAATTTTTACTTTAGGTGATTTGAAGAGTATCTTGTCAGTGGCAAAAACAAATGCAGAAGAAGCTTCTTAATTTCTGAACTACCATAGAAAGACAAGCTTTCTGCTCATGATAGTGATAATTTTTATATGCTTTTAAGACTATACTCTTAGTGATACTATTAAATTGTCCTTAGAATTTAATAATCACAGCTGGGCGTGGTGGCTCACACTTGTAATCCCAGCCACTTTGGGAGCCCGAGGCAGGCGAATCACCTGAGGTCAGGTGTTTGAGACCAGCCTGGCCAACATGGTGAATACCAAAAATACAAAAAAAAAATTTATCCAGGTGTAGTGGTGTGCACTTGTAGTCCCAGCTACTCAGGAGGCTGAGGCAGGAGAATCTCTTGAACCTGGGAGGTGCAGTCTGCAGTCAGCCAAGATGGTGCCCCTGCACTCCAGCCTGTGCAACAGAGTGAGACTCTGTCTTAAAAATAAAAAGAAGAAGAAGTTAATAAGCACATTTAGGCATTACCTTCTAGTTAATTTCGGGGGCATAGTATTCAGGCAGAAAACTATAGAGGTAAATAATCCTACTTAATTGTGTTTCTAATACTGTTTGAGTACTTTTGAAAAGTAAGACTATAAGCTTCAGATTTTGATTATTATCTCAGCAAAACCACCTCTGCAATATCTGGTGCACTGTACGTTTTGAGACATAGTCATATCACTTGGTTATTCTCCAAGGTGTCCGAAAGATTGTTTGCCTTGTACTGGAGACTAAGGTGATAAGAGTCAGTGAGTTAGGGTTGGGCCTTCACCCCCCCACCCCAAAAAAGTCAGTGAGTTAATATCCTCGAAGACTTAAAAAAATAACTCATAGGGTGTTGCTTATCACTTTCTTTTACACATTGCATTACTCATACACGAACAGCTTTTCTTTTAAAAATACAGCTTTGTAATGAAATTCTAAAACAAATGTCTTTTCTGACAATTCGTCATTTTTCATGTGATTTCCAATTTAAAAATCAGATATTCTATTTTTCTAGAAGAACCTAACAAGACATGTGAGAGCAGTAACACTAGTGCTACCACTACCTCCATCCAGCCTAATCTGGAAAACAGTAACAGCAGCAGTGAACTAAATTCTTCCCAGAGTGAATCTGCTAAGGCAGCTGATGATCCTGAAAATGGAGAAAGAGAATCTCATACACCTGTCTCTATTCAAGAAGAGATAGGTAAGAATATACTTTATCCATTCCATTAAAGGGAGGTTTTTCTTTTTTTTTTTTTCTTTATTTTTTAGTTTTAAATTTTTTTAATGAAAGGCTGGTGGGGGTGGGAAAATTTAGATGTTCGTTGCCTTTATTTTTTTAAACACAGATAGCAGTTCCACTCAATGTTTTGTTTAAAAAATATACAAAAGCCACAGAGCGGGGAAGAAAGATCCTTTTCATACTACCCTCCCCAAAGGTAACCACCATCTGTCAACAGTTTCGTGTGTAACATTTTAGATCTTTCTGCGGTTACATTTATGTATGTATGTGCATAAAGTTTTGGAGGGGCTTTGGGTGATTTTTTAGTTTTAGGTGTTTTTTTAAATATAAACAGGATCATTCTGCATGTATTGTTCTGCATCCTGCTTTTTTAAACTCAGTGATACATGTAGAGAATCTTTTTCTGTAATGAATTGAATTTATTTTTTTTTAACTGCTGCATGGTACCCCAGAGTATGGATGAACCATAATTCATCTACTATTTCTCTATTAATGGACATGTAGGTTGTTAACAGTTTTTCATTATTACAGATAGTGGTGTTTTTGAACATCCGTAACATGTATCTTTGTGTACTTGCACAGGTATTTCTGGCACTATAGAAATAGTAAGTGGACTTGCTGGTAGCTACATTTAAAAAAACAGTGATGGCTACTACTTAATTGTATATCAAAGAGATTTATACCAGTAATTTAGATATAATCTGTTTCCTTATTCTCTCACTTAAATTCAACAATATCATTTCTCTTAACATTTTTGCCAGGGGTGAAAAGTATTTCATGTAAAAATTTGCATATCCTTACTCATGTGGTTAAGTTTCTTACATGTGTTTGTTGAACTTCCTGTGAATTGCTTATTCATATCTTTTTCTCACTTTTTCCTAATGAGTTTTGTTATTTTTCCTTAATGAATTTTAGGAATGCTGTATGTATTATGGCTATTAATCTTCAATTTTATATATGTATATATTTGTATAGTAATTGCCTATTTTTGGCTCTGTGTTGTCATGCAGAAATTTTTACATTTTTATATAGTTAAATTTACGAATCTTTAGAGTTTCTCGGGATTTTGTGTTTTATTAAGGAGGGCTATCCCCATCCCAAGAATATACATACATTTTACAGTAATTCTTCATAATACTTCTATAACTTTGTTTTCAGTCTGTCCAAAGTGTAATTTTCATTTGATCTGAGTTGGAAATCTGTTTTAATTAGGACTTTTTCAGTCACAAGTGATCAAACCAACTTAAAATAACTTAAGCTGGAATTTAATTAGCTCATAGAGTTGGGAAGTTCCAGCCATCATCAGGCATAACTGGACCCTCAGATATCGAACTCTTTGTTTTCCTCTCTTTCTCTCTCACCTTTCAGGTCTACATATATTTGTGTATGTGAACCTCATTCTCTCCCAACACAGGCAGGCTTTTCCAATGTGGCAGGGAAGAAGGCACCAGCAAGTTGTATTTATACCTTTCCAAGGTCTATGACCCAAAGACAAGGCCCCTGCTTCTGCTCCAAATCAAAAGTCCTTGAGGAAGGAATTTGAGTGGCTTATCTTGGATCACATTCTTTCTACCCCTATGGCCAGGGTAGGCAGGGTAGTACGATTGATGCCTCCAGCAAAAGTATATGACTGGAGTTGGGTAGAAATGGTTTTCCCAGGAAAGAGGGATGCTGCAAAGATTATAGCATAGTAAATATCTCCAGTCCATCCTTTGGTAGGTCAGCACATGTGTGTACTCACATTTGTTCTCATACATAAAATTCAAAAATGGCTCTGCCTAATATAATGCAAAGATTTCACCCACAACTTAAAACTTTTTCAAAAATCTCTTTCCCACAGTTATATCCTGTCATTGTCTCTAGACCCAAATCTAGTATTTCTGTGTGTTGTACATTAATTTCGATAGATCTCGCTTATCTTGATCTCACAATTCATGAGCCACATTATCAATTTAACTGCTTATGACACTCATAAATATAGTGGAGGTGTTCTTTAATAAATCTGGATGCCATTGGTTTTCTGGAGAATGGCTGTGGTTGAGAGATGAGAAGCATATGAGAAGATTCTCCTTCTGGAGGCCATTCTGTTTTAGCTGCCTGGTTCCTGCCAGATGTTATTGGGGTTGGGTTATTGTGGACTTCTGTAGGATTAAACAGTCATACATCCTTATTTGGCAGGTTTGGGTTATTTTTCTGACAGTAGCACTCACTTGTAGATTCCTGGATTCCCAGCTACTACTTAATGCTCAGAAACTTGCTTTAGGGTCTCTGAAGGTGAACACCCTCCATTTCCCTGGTTCAACTGTCGAGTAGGCCAGTAGTCCTAGCCCTCATGTGAAGAGTTTGTATAGACTTCTGCCTCTGGTATCATTAAGCAATGAGTTGCAGAGGTTGATATAGATCTGTATCCTGCCATCAGGCTGTATCACAGGCTTCACTGCTTTATAATAGGAGGAATATGGCCTTTGGGCAGAGGGTGTTCAGTAAGGACCTCTGCCCTCAGCCTAGTTATCTTTCTCCATTCCTTTAAGTCTTACCCCTGTGGTTGAATTTTCCCTTATTTGCACTACCTTTAGCAAGTGACAAAGGAATTGACTCTGAGCAGTATTGGACTGTTGGCTCTGTATTAGGAAGCTTTTTAAAAGCACTATGTCATTCTCTTTCTGTTTTCAGGAAATCTGACCTAGACCAAACGATGTCTAAAAAGTATCTATTATAGAACTTTATACATGGTCCCAAGAACTAACCACCATAGTTCAACATCTTGTCATAAAACTCCATCATCTGAAGGCCGGGTATGGTGCTCATGCCTGTAATCCCAGCATTTTGGGAGGCCAAGGCGGGTGCATCACCTTAGGTCAGGAGTTCAAGACCAGCCTAACCAACATGGTGAAACCCCGTCTCTACTACAAATAGAAAAAAATTAGCTGGGCATGGTGGCAGGTGCCTGTAATCCCAGCTACTTGGGAGGCTGAGGCAAGAGAATGGCTTGAACCTGGGAGGCAGAGGTTGCAGTGAGCCGAGATCACGCCTACTGCACTCCAGTCTCAGTGACAAGAGTGAAACTCCATCTCCAAAAAGAAAAACAACTTGATGATCTGAGACCCAAAAGAAAATTGGAAGTCTCACCAACTGCTTTGCTACCACACATCCAAAGTGACTTGCTTAGCAGCCTGGGATGGCAAGATGCTCAGCACCCTCTCTCCGTTTTGACTTACTATTTAAGGAGGGCAAAGAGATGTGTTCTTTCTTTTTAAAACAAAAATCTGTGGAATGTAAGATAATTTTAATTACCATACCTTAAAAAATAGGGGCTGGAAATTTGTTGACCTACTTTTGAATTGTATTTTCTCCATTTTCAAAACTGTAGTAGTATGATACTTTGGAGTCAAAAATCTTAAAATATTCTACTGGATTATTTAGACTTTACTGGTTTTGATAAAAATCCATCAGACTTGCTTGAAAGGGGAATTTTTTTCTTTTCTTTTTTTTTTTTTGAGACAGAGTTTCACTCTTGTTACCCAGGCTGGAGTGCGATGGCGCGATCTCGGCTCACCGCAACCTCCGCCTCCTGGGTTCAGGCAATTCTCCTGCCTCAGGCTCCTGAGTAGCTGGGATTACAGGCACGCGCCACCATGCCCAGCTGATTTTTTGTATTTTTAGTAGAGACGGGGTTTCACCATGTTGACCAGGATGGTCTCAATCTCTTGACCTCGTGATCCACCCACCTCAGCCTCCCAAAGTACTGGGATTACAGGCGTGAGCCACCGCACCCGGCTTGAAAGGGGAATTTTATTGACTTATAGTATTGGGAAGTCAAGCCTCAGGTAACTTATTGGATCTGGGGAGCCAAATGAGGTTATAGAGGCTACTTCTGAATTTTGCCTTTTCATATTTTTCTCTTTATTTCTTCTCCATGATTGGCTTACTGCCTCCTGTTATTGATGATTTTCTCCATGTTATGGGAATAAAAGTGGCCAACTTCTGATTTACACCCTTCCTGCTTATTATTATCACAAAAAGCAAAGACCCTTTCTCCATCTCCAGATTTTAAAACGTGGAAAAAGATGCTTAAGAGGATTGAGCCAAATAGCCAGTCCTGGGACAGTCACTGTAGCCAGCTAGTGGTGTGCTTTGTCTGGCCATGCTGGGTCCTGCTGCCCACTCCAAAGGGGCAACATACTTGATTTGCATCCCTGGCAGAATCATATAATTAAAATATGGGAAGGCAGCTGTGAGGGAAGCATGTCCCCAAAGGAAAGAAGGGGCATGGAACAGGTAAAATTAACAGATGTTTACAAAATGGTCTTAATTTTTTCCCCAAAATGCACAGCCAGTTTTCCCAATCCTAGTTTTTCTCTATTTACTTTTAATGCCATCTTCGTTATATATAATATAGTAAATTATCTGTCTTTTCATTTACCAGTGCCACAGTGTCTTAATTTTTTTAAAGCTATAAATCAAAAAGGAAAAATCAGAGCTTATTCAACTGTCTGGTCAATAAAAATTGAACAGTGATGCAGTAGTTTTAGAATGTATACAATTTTTCCAGCCTTGGGCAACATGGCAAAACCTCCTCCCTACAGAAAATACAAAAAATTAGCCAGGTATGGTGGTACATGCTACTTGGTTCCAGCTACTTGGAAGGCTGAGATGAGAAAATCACCTGAACCTGGGGGGGTTGAGACTGAGGTGAATTGAGATTGTGCCACTGCACTCCAGCCTGGGCAACAGACTGAGACCCTATCTCAAAAAAAAGGAAAAAAAAAATTCAGCCAAAATGACGTTCATCAGTATATAAAAGCAGAAATTGCTCCTGGGCACTTCAGTTTGTCACTTTAAAAATTAAATTACTAGGAAAATGTTGAGAGGTCTTTATTAGATTATCAAAAACTAATTTAGTTTATTTTTAATATTGATATGCATACACAGATAATTATCTGAATCCCCAAGTGGAAAATCCATGACATTTATGTTTATAAGCTCAAAACTCTTTGGTATTTAAACAGAATTTCAGTGGAAATCTTTCCAAAACTTACACCTTTTTATACAGAAATCCATATTGAATGTATATAAGACAACATTTTGTTAGTTTGCTTTTTGAGTTATTATTATGTTTGTTACTTGTATGTTTGTACCAGCCCTTCCTGTTTTCAGATAGATGAGCTTTGAAACAGATAACCTAGCATGTTTGAATTTTTTGTGGAATAATAGATGACTCACAGTAAAGTTATGATACATTTTCTTTTAAACAAAGGACTTAAGGATTAATGATACTTTCTTTGCCATTCAAGGGCTTTTTTTTTTATCTGTTTACTTTGTGAATCTTACATATACACCAGATACAAGTTTTGGTGAAATAAGGTAGTTATAATTATTTACTTATTGTCAGCAATTGCTTTGTGGCCTTTTCATTTGACAATAGGTGACTTCAAATCGGAGAAGTCCAACGGGGAGCTAAGCGAATCTCCTGGAGCTGGAAAAGGAACATCTGGCTCAACTCGAATCATCACCAGATTGCGGAATCCAGATAGCAAACTTAGTCAACTGAAGAGCCAGCAGGTAGCAGCTGCTGCCCATGAAGCAAATAAGTTATTTAAGGAGGGCAAAGAGGTGTGTTCTTTCTGTCTAAAACAAAAATCTGTGGAATGGGAGATAATTTTAATTACCATATCTTAAAAATAGGGCTGGAAATTTGTAGAAATTTGTAGACCTACTTTTGAATTGTATTTTCTCTATTTCCAAAACTGTAGTAGGTAACAAGGTTGAAAGTATTAGGCTTCATAAATACAGTTGCGTACCCAAATTTCAGTCAAGGCATAAAAATGCTATGAACAGCTGATACACTTTCTTACTACACGATCAGTTTTATTGTACATATCATTCTAAAGAATTAATGCCTTCTTTACACGTATCAGTAGGCTATTTTGGGTTTTATACTTTATTAAAGAACTGTAGATGATTCACTGTTCAATTCTTGCTATGATCACTTCAGGTGAACCTGCAGCTAAAGGATGAGGCTTACCCATGGACAGCAGAATACTGTGGATAGGACAGCATGGGATCCCAGCTCTGATCATGAACAATGGGATTAAAGATAGGACTCAGTATCTCTGCCCTTCAGCTAGCCATGGTGACAGGACATGGCCCCTCTGTATCTCCCAGATATGAGAATTATTTGCAGGGCAGATATATGCAAGAATAAATGATGTTCTTAACATCACAGCAGTTGCTTAAAAGCAGTGGCTTTCATACTTCTTTTTGACTCTGACCCTCAGTCAGATACACATTTTTTCATAGCAGCCCTGTACACATACTCAAGAGCTTTGAAATAGTATTTTACTTTACTATGTGGGAAGCACTCTGATATTTTCTGTGCTAGCCTATTGCTTTACATTTTATTTTTTTAAAAGCTGAATAAGGCCGGGTGCCATGGCTCATGCCTATAATCCCAGTGCTTTGGGAGGCTGAGGTGGACACAGGTCAGGAGTTCAAAACCACCCTGGCCAACATGGTGAAACCTTGTCTCTACTAAAAATACAAAAAATTAGCCGGGCATGGTAGCAGACACCTGTAATCGTAGCTACTTGGGAGACTGAGGCAGGAGAATTGCTTGAACCCGGCTTGCAGTGAGCTGAGACTGCACCACAGCACTCCAGCCTGGGCAACAGAGCGTGACTGTCTTAATAAAAAAAAAAAAAACCTGAATAAGTCCCATTGTTTCTTTTCTTTTCTTTTCTTTTTTTTTGTCCCATTATTTCATAGTCCACTAAAGAGTTGGGATCAACTGTTTGAAAATATTATTTTGGAGTATCCATGGGGTCTTACACTATAGCTGGAATGATAAAAGGACCCAAAAGGGTGTTTTTAGGAGTATATTTTTGGTAGGATAGTACATGTGATAACCTTCATTTTCCTTTAAATATATGTTATAAACTTGAAAAAATGGTAGGTGAGTAATTTATATGTATGGTTTCATGTGTATATTTCAAATATTAATACATGAAAGTAGTCAATAATAGTATCTGACATGTAATAGGTACTTAATATGTGTTTTCTTTTTGCAGGCATATCTTGGTTGTTCAATTGTAAACAAGAAGCGTTAGGTTTTAACTTAGCTTGTACACTTCAAAAGTTCTATCATAAAATTTAACTGGCCAGGCATGGTGGCTCACACCTATAATCTCAGCACTTTGGGAGGCCAAGGCGGGTGGATCACGAGATTAGGAGATCAAGACCATCCTGGCCAACATGGTGAAACCCCGTCTCCACTAAAATACAAAAAAAGTAGCCAGGCGTGGTAACACACATCTGTAGTCCCAGCTACTCAGGAGGCTGAGGCAGGGGAATTGCTTGAACCCAGGTGGCAGAGCATGCCAGGAGCCAAGATCATGGCACTGCACTACAGCCTGGGTGACAGAGCAAGACTCCATCTCAAAAAAAAAAAAATGTAACTTAGTTTGAATGATTACCTTTAATTATTGAAAGATAGTTGATTAGATAAAATTTACATCTTTAATTGACATAAATAATGCAGTCTTTTTATTTTTTTGATCAGGTACTGGTAGTTAACTCTCAAGGAGAAATTTCACGGTTGAGCACCAAAAAGGAAGTCGTCATGAAAGGAAATATCAACAATTATTTTAAATTGGGTCAAGAAGGGAAGTATCGCGTCTACCACAATCAATACTCCACCAATTCATTTGCTTTGAATAAGCACCAGCACAGAGAAGATCATGATAAGAGAAGGCACCTTGCACATAAATTCTGTCTGACTCCAGCAGGAGAGTTCAAATGGAACGGTTCTGTCCATGGGTCCAAAGTTCTTACCATATCTACTCTGAGACTGACTATCACCCAATTAGAAAACAACATCCCTTCATCCTTTCTTCATCCCAATTGGGCATCACATAGGTAAAGGAAACTAAGGTTGATTTATTGATATAAACATACTAAATGTTTATAAAATGATGGTTATATTTGTGCTCTTGAAAACGTCATTACCAATGTGTTAATGAAGTCAATGTGGTCAGCAGACAGGAAGTTAGAGGGATGAGTGTACTTCTAACTTACTGAACCAACACTACTATTTGGAAGGTCTCTAGGAAGCAGAGTCTTTATCCCTGGAATCAGATGGAGGCCAAAGTTACAACTATTGTGCTTTTGATTTAAGATCAATCTAGTGAAATAATTTATTTCATTGCTTCTGAAATACAGGGCAAATTGGATCAAGGCAGTTCAGATGTGTAGTAAACCTAGAGAATTTGCATTGGCTTTAGCCATTTTGGAGTGTGCAGTTAAACCAGTTGTGATGCTACCAATATGGCGAGAATCTTTAGGACATACCAGGTAAGTGAATTCTGAGCCTTGTAAATGATGAATATTGGACATCCTTTTAAAATACTAACCTATTAATAATGAAATTTAATGTATTTAAGAGACCATATTGAGGACTTTACTTTTGGCCTCATTTTCTTCCTATGTAAGTTGTAAACATGAATGAATATTAGTTCTTTCTCTTTTTTTTTTTTTGAGATGGCATCTTGCACTGTCTCCCAGGCTGGTATGCAGTGGTGCGATCTCAGCTCGCTGCAATCAGATGTAAATAAGATTCCTAGCATAGTGCCTAGAACATTCTAGAATAAATACTAAAAAATGTGAGTACTCTTTCTAGTCAATAAAAATGCTATTTACTTTAGAAAATATTTTAAATTTTCACATACCAGATCTCTTGATCTTCATCACAATCCTGCATGGCAAATAAGAACTATTATTCATGGCCGGGCGCAGTGGCTCATGCCTGTAATATCAGCACTTTGGGAGGCTGAGGCGGGTAGATCACAAGGTCAGGAGTTCAAGACCAGCCTGGCCAACATTGTGAAACCCTGTCTCTACTAAAAACACAAAAAATTAGCCGGGCATGGTGACAGGTGCCTGTAATCCCTGTTACTTGGGAGGCTGTGACGAGAATCGCTTGAACCCAGGAGGTGGAGGTTGCAGTGAGCCAAGATCTCGACATTACACTCCAGTCTGGAGGACGAGAGCGGCTCATCCAGCCATCTCAAAAAAAAAAAAGAAAGAAAATTTTGTGACTTGAATCTGCTTTTCACCCCAATAGACTTGCTTTGTAACTTTAGTCATTCAAAAGTTATTATTACAAAACTAATGTAAAGTTATGGCAAATAATGGAAAGAATATTTAAGGGCATAAAGCAAAAAGTGAGAACTGTTTTATCTTCCCTGCCCCCGTCTTTTCTACAGAGCCTACTCCAAAGGCATATCCATATAGTTTTAAAAATACAAACACAAGCCAGGCACTGTGCCTCAACATCTGTTATCCCAGTAGCTAGGGAGACCAAGGTACTAAAAACACGAAAATTAGCTGGCTATGGTAGCACATGCCTGTAATCCAGCTACTCAGGAGACTGAGGCAGGAGAATCGCTTGAACCTGGGAGGCAGAGGTTACAGTGAGCAGAGATTGCACCTCTGCACTCCAGCCTGCATGACAGGGCAAGACTCCATCTTTAAAAAAAGGAACGTAATAAAATAAAATATAAATAATAAAATATATCACTTTCTACATCTATTTTATTTTATAATGTTTTTGAGAAAAGTAAATGTATGCCTACTAAGTGGTTTTCATCTGCTAAAGGTATGGCTCCCAGTTTTCTTTGGTGTTTCCACTACATACCTTTTTTTTTTTTTTTTTTTGACACAGGGTCTCACTCTGTCACCCAAGCTGGACTACAGTGGTACCATCAAGGATCACTGTAGCCTTGACCTCCCTGGGCTAAGGTTATCCTCCCATCTCAGCCTCCCGAGTAGTTACAGATGCATGCCACTGTGCCTGGCTACTACTTGTATTTTTTATAGACACAGAGTCTCATTATGTTGCCCAGGCTGTTCTCGAACTCTGGGCTCAAGTGATCTGCCTGCCTTAGCCTACCAAAGTGCTGGGATTACAGGTATAACACATTTCTGATAAGAGAGCAATTAGTGCAGTGGTTGCTATAACCATTTTAGAGAATGGTTTGACAAAAACAAAGTTAAAAATGCAATTCTTCTCCTTCCTGATAGGGAAGAGAAACTTTTACACTGTGCACATGAGAAGATACTGTAGCAGAGTGTTCCTTATAATATTATTTAATAATATATCATAATGATGAAATATGGAAACAATTCCTAAGCACTCATAATTAGACATGTTTAAATTGTGTTTTCATTTCATAATAGACTTACATAGCAGTGAGAAAAAATTAGAGCAGCAAGTGTCAAGAATCTCGTAAGTTTATAATAGAATGAAAACATTTGGAGGCAGTGGGAGGGGCACAGGGGTAGAATAATGAGGAAATAGAAACCCAGTTCCCCCCAGTGCACATATACCCCTTGAATCTAAAATAAAATAAAAAATTTGTAAAAGAGAAAACAGTTCCATCACTAAAAATACCTGAGGATAAATGTATATACTACATTTATATAGAGTTTAAAAGCATGTATGACAATACTATGTTACAGTATTGTTCAGGGATATAGACATTTGTAAAATTTTAAAGAAATGCAAGAGCTATGTACTTAAAATGTAAGAAATACACTTCTAAATAAATAAGAAATGCTCAAATATAAATCACAATGAAAACCAGAAAACATTTTGATCTGGATGTTCATGAAAGTACTACATATATTAAAATTTGTGAGATGCAATTAAAGACTTCTTAGGAGGAGTTGCTAGCCTTTAATGCTTTTATTAGAAAAGAAAAACTGCAAATTAATTAGCTAGGGGTACATCTCAAGGAGCCAACCCAAAGAAAGAAAATATTAAAGACGAGCAGATGTGATGAAATAGAAAACAAACGTAACTTAGATGCCATTATGTTTTACAAGCCTCCGATAAGATTATCAAGGGGGGTATAATAATACAGCACAAATAACCAAAACCAAGAATTAAAAAAGAGACATACTAACCAATGTTTCTGATTCTCTTTTACTAGAACTGGAATTTTAAAGCCTTCACAGAGTTTACTAACATAGTATTCAGGTTTCCTACATCCACAGAGAAAGGGGTCCACCTAGGAGTGGAGCAAGATGGTAGAATAGAAAGCCCCAACTGATTGTGCCTCACCTTCCATTCCCACTGCCACAGAAGGGGGCCCACGGAGTTCCTTTTGGGTGGGGAGAAGGGTTGGGAAGGACGCCACACTGATCTCTGTCCTTAGTAGGGCAGATGCCACACTCTTAGGCAGGAAAAGGATTTCTGGTTGTTTATCACTGTACCTGTCAGTGAGGTGATGGCAGGACCAGATGATTTCATAACATTTTTCTTTAATTTCAGGAACCAGATAGCTCTATTTAAACTTTTCTATCAGAATACAAAAAGGAAGAAATTTTACAGATAATTGTTTATGTTACTAATTGTTATGAAACTTGATAATTGTTATGAAACTTGATAAATAGAAATAGACAAATAGAAAAGTATGGTCCTGTCTCCTTTATTAATATTTATTATTAATAATTAATAGCAAATCAGTATGTCTGTAAGAAATATCAAAATATTGGTATGCAGATATATTCAGGAGTAAATTTAAAGTATAAGAAACCATGGCTAAATTGGCTTCACCTTAGACACAGAAGACTTGTCCAGTACTAGCAGATTATTAATACTATACCATTTTAAGATGTCAGCCAGGCGTGGTGGCTCTCACCTGTAATCCCAGCACTTTAGGAGGCTGAGACGGGTGGATCACGAGGTCAGGAGTTCAAGACCAGCCTGGCCAAGATGGTAAAACCCAGTCTCTATTAAAAATACAAAAAAAGTTAGCGGGGCATGGTGGCTGGCACCTGTAATCCCAGCTACTTGGGAGGCTGAGGCAGGAGAATCGCTTGAACCCAGGAGGCGGAGATTGCAGTGAGCCGAGATCACACCGCTGCACTCTAGCCTGGGTGACAAAGCAGGACTTCCATCTCCAAAAAAAAAAAAAAGTCAAAGAAAGGCTGTGTGCATGGCTTATGCCTGTAATCCCAGCACTTTGGGAGGCCAAGACAAGTGGATCACTTGAGCCTGGTAGTTTAAGACCAGCCTGGCCAACATGGTGAAACCCCGTATCTACTAAAAATACAAAAATTAGCCAGGCAGGGTGGTGCATGCCTGTAGTCCCAGCTACTAGGCAGCTGAGGCAGGAGATTCGCTTGAACCCAGGAAGAAGAGGTTGCAATGAGCTGAGATCACACCACTGCATTCCAGCCTGGGCAACAGAGCAAGATGCTGTCTCAAAAAAGTCAAAGAAAGGAAACCTTTTGATCATCTCATTAGATAACAAGAAGGTATTTTGTCTAAGCTTGTTATTATTTATTTGTTTCTTTTAATTTTAAATTTTTTTGTAGAGATGGGGTCTCCATATGTTACTCAGGCTGGTCTTAAACCTCTGACCTCAAGTGATCCTCCCACCTTGGCCTCCCAAAGTGCTGGGATTACAGGTGTGAGCCACTGCACCTGGCCTATTTATTTGTTTTTGTAAAACTCTTAGATAAATAGGAATATATGAAGTTTTTTTTTTAAAGATGTGTTTCAAAGCAAGTTATCATGCCTTTTGGTGAAACCCTTGAAGCATTTCCAATAACATTCAGGTGAAACAAAAAATATTCCCACTACTGGCCTGTCGAGGTGGCTCTCCCACCTGTAATTCCAGCACTTTGGGCAACCAAGGCAGGAGAATCGCTTGAGGCCAGAAGCTGGAGGCTGCAGTGGGCCATAATTGCACCACTGCACTCCAGCATGGGCAACAGAGTGAGACCCTGTCTCAAAAATAATAAATAAAATTATTAACATTACATTTTAACATTTCCTAAATGTACCAGGAAATGCAATTTGCCAAGAGAAATAAAACATATAAATACTGACAAGATATAGACACAATTATTATATGCAGTTGATCTAATTAATTAACACATAATTTTTTTCCACGCTGAACTGCACCAAAACTATGGCCAAAATTTTTAAAAATTACAAACCCACAGGGACAAGCGGAGCAACAGAAAATATACCACCTATAAAATTGCAGAAGCATTAATGCAGGTGGACAAATGGCAGCCTACCTAAGGAAGCCAATCCCGAGTCAGTGGGGAAAACAAACCTCAGAAGCCCTAAAAGCAGGAAGTACAGAGCCAGCCACTTTGGATGCTTGGCTGTAGTAGACCTGTTTTATGCTGCAGTCCCGCCAGATACCTTGATTGTGGTGAGCCCTGTCTCTTCAGGGTTTGCTCATGATCTCACCCAGTGATTTTGCCAAAAGAGGTCTGTAAATTTTCCTGAAAGCTGAAGCCGGGCTGTGACCCAGAGACAAGTATATAGTTTCCTGGGAACCTTCTTAGATAGTAACAATATTGCTCTGTGCAGCTAGTTTTATACTTGATGCTGAGTTTTCAAAGGCCAAACTTTATACTATTTGGGATATACACACATAGGTTATAAAAGTATAAGGAAAAGCAAGGGAATGTTTAGCACAAAAATAATGATTGCCAGGGAGTAGGACAAGCATCTGATATATTGCTTGTAGATAAAGTTCTGTTTCATAACCTGGTTGCATTTTACATATTTTTAAAAATTATAATGAAACAAATGATTCCAGGAACAACGACAAAAACCTCAAACACCTGGGGGGGGTAGAGAGAGAGAGAGAGTGTGTGTGTGTGTGTGTGTGTATGTGTGTGTGTGTGTGTTGAGACAGTCTCACTCTTCCACCTAGGCTGGAGTGCGGTGGCGCCATCTCAGCTTACTGCCACCTCCACCTCTCAGGTTCAAGTAATTCTTCTGCCTCAGCCTCCCAAGTAGCTGGGATTACAGACAGTTGCTACCATGCCCGGCTAATTTTCGTATTTTTAGTAGAGACAGGGTTTTGCTGTGTTGGCCAGGGCTGGTCTCCAACTCCTGTCTTCAGGCAGTGATCCACCCTCCTTTACCTCCCAAAGTGCTGGGATTACAGGCATGAGCCACCACATTAGGCCAAATATAACAAGAAATATTCAAGGCCTTTGTAAAGCAATCTTTAGGCCAGGTGTGGTGGCACATGCCTATAATCCCAGCACTTTGGGGGGGGTGAGGCAGGAGGATTGCTTGACCAGCCTGGGCAATATAGGGAGACCCTGTCTCCACCAATAAAAAATAATAATAATTAATTAATTAAAAAATTAAAAAGCAATCTTTAAAGCTTAACTAAAGACATGAAAGACACTTTGCATTGTGAACAAGATTTTCCATCCTGGGGCAGGGGACACTTGACCAAAATGATACTAATATTTGATCTAGAAAAGTTAATGTGCAAGAATACTGAGCACAGTAGCTCACGCCTGTATTCCCAACATTTTGAGAGGTCGAGGAGGGAGGATCAACTTGAAGCGAGGAGTTTGAGACCAGCCTGGGCAATATAGCAAGACCCTGTCTCTACAAAAAAATAAAAATTGGCCAGGAGTGGTGGTGTGCAACTGTAATGCCGGCTACTTGGGAGGCTGAGCCCAGAAGTTGGAGGAGGATTGCTTGAGTCTGAGAGTTCAAGGCTGTGGTGAGCTGTGATTGCACCACTGCACTACATCCTGGGCAACAGCAAAACAACCTGTCTTTAAAAAAAAGAAAAAAAAAGTTAATGTGTAAGAATAACCAAAAGGGGGGGAAAAGATGTTAGTGGAAAAGGTACTAGATATGAGAGCACATTTTGGAGCTTCAGTAATTTGTTCTACAGAAAAAACAAATCAGTAGAGAATCTAAAAATAGACCTAAGTATGGGGCTTTAGCCATGGTAGCATTGCACATCACAAAGGGAAAGAGAGCATGTTTCGGAAAATATCACTTACATCTCTGCCTTAGCAAAAAATATTTAGATTGATGAAAAAATTTTTGAAACCCCAAAACCCTAAAAACAAAAGAAAACTTTAATAAGAAAGCGTGAATTAATTTATGTTTTTGTTGTGATACTTTCTTTTTAAACAGATAAAAAATCCAGATGCCATAGAGGAAAAAAGTGGATACATGTATTTAAAATTCTGAGTGGAAAAAATGTTATTATAATCAAACTCAAAAGACAGATGACAAACTGAGGAAAAACATTTGTACTACAAATGGAAAATTTTCTTAATTGACAAAGACCTTTTATAAATGAAAAGTACTAATAGTCTAATACAGACAAGACAAAGGATTTGAACAGGCATTTTGCAGAAAAATAAATATGAAAGGCCAGTAGACATAAAAAATGATTACTTCTCTCATAATTAAAAACAATGGGATAGTATTTTTTACCTCTGAGTTTGACTAATGGTTTTAGAAGTTCAGTACTAACTCAGCATAAGTGAAGGTAAAAGAACACAGGGTGGCTTTACGATGGATGGTAGTATGGAGCTATGATTGCACTGTTCTACAAAGCAGTTTGATACCATATCTGTCAGCATTTTAAGTGCAAGAACTTTTGGACCCAGCCATCTCACCACAGGAGGATATAGAGGGCTACTCCCCAGGTTTACCAAGAATTACATAAAATGTTGTTTGTTATGACTTTGACTGTGATAGCAAAACACCGCAAAACCCTGGGCACCATGGAGAGATTAGGAGTGGAGTTGAAGTTCAGTCCATTCTCCTGATCCGATTTAGTTGACCAAGGAGAAGTAGAAGGAAAATCTGCCACTGGCATACCCACCAGCGTGCTACTCTGGGATAGGTAGCAGATTAGCTATAAAATGGCCTAACTGGCCTTGCTTCCTCCGCAAAGAGAAGCCTTTGTATTTGGTGATAAAAGGGACCTGTTTGCCTCATAGACACCAAGAACATAACTGAGCATCCAGCCCAGCTGTGAGCTCCTGGGGTGCCACCGCACTAGAGTTCTTCAGACAGTGCTCCATTCCTGGCCTCTGTCAGCGAAAATGGCCCAGTTGCCATGCTGGACCTGGCCTTTCAGAGGTGTCTAGAAGCCAAGCCCACAAAATCTCCGTGAGAAATCCTACACGGTCTTCCTGGCACAATCACTCCCTACTTACTCTTGTAGCCTGAGACTGTCAGGTTATCCGCCATGCTGTGCCTCCAGAACTTGTTCTTCTCCTTAGTTCCAGGAGTGTTGGCAGAGGGATGGAATTTGAGTACGTTAGCTCCCAGTGAGGATCCACTCCCTTTCCCCTCCTCCCATCAGCTTATGAGAGACTATTAAGAGCCTTATGGAGAATGTTTGCTGCACCAGTTGTGTGCAGTGAATAGGCATGAGCTCTCAGCCTGGGGGAGACTGTATTCTGGGGCCCTACAATCACAAGGACACAAAGCCTTCTTAAAAGTTGGGAGGGAGAGAAGAAGCAGGGAGAGAGATGGGGAGTTTTTGGTGGGGTAAAAGGAGGTAAAAAGACTGAAATCCCCTCCCACGTCTTTTCGGCATCACTACCCCAAGTTAACAGAAGGTCTCTATTCTTTCCACAGAGCTGTACATGAGAAATTGGCTGCACCTGGTTAGGGTGTGATAAAAGCAGTTCTTTTGCCATTAGTGCTCTTAGAGACAAAAGCTCCTTTCTTTGTAGGTTTTGCTTCATGTCTCTGTTTATGAGAAATATTTTGATTTATTAAAATTGAATCTAATCACCTAAATGTAGAGCTTTGCCACAGGCCTGGTCTTTACTGGTAGGTGCAGTGATTTCCTTTCCTGCCTGAGGAAGAGTGATGCCTGTGTCTCATGATTTAGGTCAATATGGGTTGACCTTCCTCATCCTTCCTCTCTCCAAAGTTGGGGCCTTATGGGCCCTTTTGTCTGTGGATGTAAGAAACCTGATTTCTGTTAATAGACCCTGTGAACACTTTAAAATCCCCAGTGCTTGTGAGAATCAGAAATATTGGTGGATAAAATAAACGTTTTTGGATTCTTTGGTCTTTGTTTTTAGAAAGGAAAAAACTCTGGAAACAAAGTATTCTTTAACAGTAACCTGGTGTAATAAATTATATTACATGCAGTATTCATGCAGTGGCATATTTTTTAATTCCTTAAAAAGATCTGTGTATTTTGATAAGGAAAGATCTTCTAAAGTAATTATCTATTGTTTAAAAACTGTAGTTGAGGGCCAGGCGTGGTGGTTCATGCCTGTAATCCCAACACTTTGGGAGGCCAAGGCAGGTGGATCTCCTGAGGTAAGGGGTTCAAGACCAGCTTGACCAACATGGAGAAACCTGTTTCTACAAAAAATTACAAAATTAGCCAGGCGTGGTGGTGCATGCCTGTAATCCCAGCTACTTGGGAGGATGAGGCAGGAGAATTGCTTGAACCTGGGAGGCAGAGGTTGCAGTGAGCCAAGATCCCACCATTGCACTCCAGTCTGGGCAGCAAGAACAAAACTTCATCTAAAAAAAACAAAAACCGTAGTGGTGGGTTGACTATAAAATACATATATATGGCTGGGTACCCTGGCTCATGCCTGTAATCCCAGCACTTTGGGAGGCCAAGGTGGGTGGATCATGAGGTCAGGAGATGGAGACCATCCTGGCCAACATGGTGAAACCTTATCTCTACTAAAAATACAATAATTAGCCGGGCATGGTGGCACACGCCTGTAGTCCCAGCTACTCAGGAGGCTGAGCAAGGAAAATCACTTGAATCGAGGAGGCAGAGGCTGCAGTGAGCCGAGATTGCACCACTGCACTCCAGCCTGGGTGACAGAGCAAAACACTGTCTCAAGAAAAAAAAAAAAAAAAAAAAAAATTCATATGTGTGAATATATAATGGATTGTGTAAAGAGATACATAAATGTTGGTATATGCATGAAATGTTTTAGGAATAAATCATAATTGTTTCTTATGCGGAGGCATGGAAAGGATAGCATTTCTTGTTTTTGACTTTCTGTACCCTTTGCCTTTTCTTATTAAGGAATTGTACAACTAATTTCTGTCAGTTGTGGTTGTCTGTTTTGTAGGATTATAACCAAGTCTGCTTTGTCTTCCTAATTTTTCAGTATTGCATTTTATCTTTTCTGTTTATTCTTTTAGATTAACTTTGTCTTTCTATTCATGCACTCTTAGGTTACACCGGATGACATCAATTGAAAGAGAAGAAAAGGAGAAAGTCAAAAAAAAAGAGAAAAAACAGGAAGAGGAAGAAACAATGCAGCAAGCGACATGGGTCAAATACACATTTCCAGTGAAACACCAGGTAATTTTTATAACAACCCTTTAAAATAGTGTTAGCCATTTCTAAGACTTTTATTCTGAAACTTTGAATACTTAACTAATTTTATTTTACTTTTGGCATAGTCTTTTTATTTATTTTTTTTAGACAGAGTCTCGCTCTGTTGCCCACTAGAGTGCAGTGGCGCAATCTTGGCTCACTGCAGCCTCTGACTCCCAGGTTCAAATGATTTTCCTGCCTCTGCCTCCCGAGTAGCTGGGATAACAGGTGTGCACCACCACCCTTGGCTCATTTTTGTTTAGTAGAGACAGGTTTTCGCCATGTTGGCCAGGCAAGTCTTGAACTCCTGACCTCAGGTGATCCTGCTGCCTTGGTCTCCCAAAGTGCTAGGATTACAGGCGTGAGCCACTGCACTTGGTCTGCTTTTAACATGGTCTTTTAATTAATATATGAGGAATGAAGTACATCTTTCTGGCAAATTTATAAAGCACTGATTTATCTTAGTAGAATATATGCGGTTTATGAGGCCAGTTTAATTGTTATAAATTTAAAATTGTTACTGTAAAATTGTGTTAAATTTTACATGCTAAAAGGGAGTATTTTTTTAATCTTTATTCCCAGTGAAAATTAAATTGATTAGTAAATTTTTTTGTCCCGACTTGGAAAAACCTGGGAATGATTAGTAAATTATATTTGCCTGACTTTGACACTTGTTTGGTAAAAATGTATGAAACCACATGTGGTTTATAAGCATTGTCATTGTTATTGTTTAATCAAAATGTTTTCATTTACACCAGGTTTGGAAACAAAAAGGTGAAGAGTACAGAGTGACAGGATATGGTGGTTGGAGCTGGATTAGTAAAACTCACGTTTATAGGTTTGTTCCTAAATTGCCAGGCAATACTAATGTGAATTACAGAAAGCCATTAGAAGGAAGTAAGTAATTAAAATTACATTTCCTGCATAGTCATTTCTGCTTAATTTTTCTTATAAATTTGTAGTATATTGACTATATTTTAGATAAAAACATTTTTCTGAAATTTTTAATAGTATTGCAAAATTATCAGTGTAGTTTACAAAACCCCTAAAACTTTAAAAATTACCTTTATTCACAGGATTTTGATGTCTCCGATTTCCATTAAAGAAAGATCATAGAAAAAAAAAGAAAGTCCATAAAATGAAACTCGTTTACAAGAGACCTCAGCCGCCTGATTATCTTTTTTCAAAATCTTAAGTTCAGGCCAGGCAGCCACGCGCAGTGGTTTGTGCCTGTAATCCTAGCACTTTGGGAGGCCAAGGCGGATGGATCACTTGGAGATCAGGAGTTCTAGACTACCCTGGCCAACATGGCGAAACTCCATCTCTACTAAAAATACAAAAATTCTCTGGGTGTGCTGGCACTTACCAGTGATCCCAACTACCTAGGAGACTTGAGGAAAATCACTTGAACCCAGGAGGTAGAGGTTACAGTGAGCTGATACTGCACCACTGCACTCCGGCCTGAGTGACAGAACGAGACTGTCTGGAAAAAAAAAAAAAAAAAAAATTCACACCAGACACAGTGGCTTATACCTATAATCCTAGTGCTTTAGGAGGCTTAGGCAGGAGGATCACTTGAGGCCAGGAGTTCAAGGCCAGCCTGGGCAACATAGCAAGACCCCAACTCTACAAAAAGATTTAAAAAAAATTAGGCAGGCATGTGGTCCCAGCTACGTCGGGGGGGCTGAGGCAGTAGGATTGCTTGAGGCCAAGAGTTTGAGGCGTCAGTGAGCCATAATTTGCTGTTGCACTGTAGCCTGGATGACAGAGGAAAACTTTATCTCTTAAAAAAAAAAAAATCTTGGCCGGACGCGGTGGCTCAAGCCTGTAATCCCAGCACTTTGGGAGGCCGACGCGGGTGGATCACGAGGTCAAGAGATCGAGACCATCCTGGTCAACATGGTGAAACCCCGTCTCTACTAAAAATACAAAAAAATTAGCTAGGCATGGTGGCGCGTGCCTGTAATCCCAGCGACTCAGGAGGCTGGGGCAGGAGAATTGCCTGAACCCGGGAGGCGGAGGTTGCGGTGAGCCGAGATCACGCCATTGCACTCCAGCCTGGGTAACAAGAGCGAAACTCTGTCTCAAAAAAAAAAAAAAAAAAAAAATCTTAAATTCAGTATTAATTCACTTCTGAGTAGTCATGTATCTGGTAACCTTAGCATTGTTGCACATAGAGAAAACTGGAAAGAAAGTGATAGAGGCTTCCAAAACACTGTCCCATAAATGAGCTATTAATTTAGTTTTTACAACTGGCTAATGAGCTTTAGTATTTAGCATTACAGAACTGTATAGAGATGAATTGCTCTTTTAAGAGACCATGTGTTTTTAAACTCGTGTTAAATGAGCCAGTTATTTCATGAGGATGCTAGGTGACATAGTGAAGACCACATATACTGAAAGTGAGAGAACACTGGCAGAACTTACGCCTCTTTCTGTGATTCTTTTCTTCTCTCACCAGTATCCTGCTCTCGACAGGATTATGGTTTTTTTGTGTGTGTGCTGTCTTCCTTCAGGCAGATCTTTCTGGAAGAAATTACTGATTTAAATAAAAAATAGATTTTGTTTAATATCTATTTTCTCTCACCAGTATCCTGCTCTCAACAGGATTATGGTTTCTTTGTACTCTCTTCCCTTCAGCCAAACCTTTCTGGAAGATGAAAAATAGATATACCTTGCTAGGTCCTTGGGATGTTTAGGTTAAAGTGAAGAGAAGGTAAAGAATAGGAAAATGCAGGCCGGGCACGGTGGCTCAAGCCTGTAATCCCAGCACTTTGGGAAGCCGAGGCGGGTGGATCACGAGGTCAAGAGATCGAGACCATCCTGGTCAACATGGTGAAACCCCGTCTCTACTAAAAATACAAAAAATCAGCTGGGCATGGTGGTGCGTGCCTGTAATCCCAGCTACTCAGGAGGCTGAGGCAAGAGAATTGCCTGAACCCAGGAGGCGGAGGTTGCGGTGAGCCGAGATTGCGCCATTGCACTCCAGCCTGGGTAACATGAGTGAAACTCCGCCTCAAAAAAAAAAAAAAAAAAAAAAAGAATAGGAAAATGCCTTTAAGGCCAGGTGCCATGGCTCACACCTGTGATGGGATACCAAAGCTGGGAGGATCATTTGAGCCCAGGAGTTCAAGAAACAGCCTAGGCAACATGGCAGATCCCCATCTCTACAAAAAAATGCAAAAATTAGCTGGGCATGTTGGTACGAACCTTTATTCCCAGTTACTCAGGAGGCTGATGGAGGAGGATCACTTGAGCCCAGGAGTTCAAGGCTGCAGTAAGCTGAGATCACCCCACTGTGCTCCAGCATGGGTGACAGAGCAAAAAAAAGCCTTTAAAGCCCACCAAGAAAATTCATCTAGACAGTGTTCTGTTTTGGAAAGCTTGATTATTTATTTATTTATTTATTTTTTATTATGGGAAGTTTAAAACATATACAGATACGAAGAGAATAATGAACTCCCAAGCAACCATCATTCAGCTTCAACAATGATCAAAGTTTATCACCTTTTTTTTTAAAAGGTGGGATCTTGTTCTGTCACCCAGGCTGGAATGCAGTGGCGCAATCTCAGCTCACTGCAACCTCCATCTCCCAGGTTCAAGCAGTTCTCCTGCCTCAGCCTCCCAAATAGCTGGGATTACGAGCGCCCACCACTACACCCAGCTAATTTTTGTATTTTTAGTAGAGATGGGGTTTTACTATGTTGGCCAGGCTGGTCTCAAACTCCTGACCTCAGGTGAACCACCCACCTTGGCCCCTCAAAGTGCTGGAATTACAGGTGTGAGGCACTGCACTGGCCTGTGGTATTAATGTTTATCCTGTAGCTGTGTTACTGATAGATATAGATACAGGTATATAATTTTTTTTTTTTTTTAAGAGAGAGCCTTACTTTGTCACCCAAGCTGGAGTGCAGTGGCATGAGCCACCATACCTGTCTACCTCTTTTGTTGTTGTTGTTTTTTAATCCTGCAGTGTTTTAAAACAAATCCCAGAAATCATGGTTCACCAAAAGTGTTCACGATGTTTTCTGAAACATCTAAAATTCAGTCATTCTTATACTCAATAAGACCTTTGTCTTTTTTTTTTTAATGAAAAAATGAAATATAACTTGCTGGAAAATACTTGTTTATTTTCACTAAACTCGATATATTAAATTGCTAATACTGGAAATAACTTTAATTATCCTGTACATGGTTCTTTTTAGCCAAAAATAATATGGATGAAAATATGGATGAATCAGATAAAAGAAAATATTCACGAAGTCCAAAAAAAATAAAAACAGAGCCTGATTCTGAAAAAGATGAGGTAAAAGATTCAGATGCTGCAAAAGAAGCAGACCAAAGTGAAATGGATATCTCAAAGATAACTGAGAAGAAGGATCAAGGTAAGGAGAGTCAACTGTGGAGGGCAGCCTGGGGGTGATAAGAATGCACTGGATCAGGGTCCTACCACAGGAAAGGTACTGCACTGTGTTTTCTTGATAATAGCTTTATTACAACATAACTCATATCTCATGCAATTCACCCAGTTAAAGTGTAAATTCAGTGGTTTTTAGTATATTCACAAAGTTCAACCATTACCGTGTCAATCTTAGAACATTTTCATAACCTTCAAAAGAAGCCTCATTTATACCATTAGTTACTTCCCAGTCCCTCCGCAAAGTGCTGCCAGCTTACCAGTCTACTATGGATTTGCCTACTTTGGAGAGTCCATAGAAATGAAGTCAGACAATAGGTGGTCCTTTATGGCTGGCTTCATCCGCTCAGCATGTTTTCAAGGTTCATCCATGTTGTAGCATGTATCAGTACTTTCTTTTTATTGCTGAATAATATTCCATTTTATGGATATGCTACATTCTGTTATCCATTCATGAGTTGATGGACACTGGGCTTTTTCCTCTTTTGGCTATTATGAATAGTGCGGCTCTGAACATTCATGCAGAAGTTTTTTGTGGCCATGTGTTTTCACTTCTCTTGGAGATATACCTAGGAATGGAATTACGGGATCATATGGTACCTCTGTTTAACCTTTTGAGGAACCACATTGTCTCTTGTAAAAAACTAGATAAGCTGGATAATGCATGTGGCTAGAGATATAACTGTAAAAGCCTATGCAAAATATTACGTGCAGGTACTGTAGTGTGCAGTAGCCTGCCGCATACTAAGTAATTTTTCATTATGACATTCCATTGTTTTTAGATACTAAGAATCAGAATATCTAAATATTTGGAGGCTGTGTGTTTCATAAAGTTCAACACTATCCATTGACCAGGAACTTTGACATATATATTTATGTTTAAGCTCTAGAGAGAAAATGAGAAAAATAGGTACTTTAAAATATATTTTTGGCTGGGCACAGTGGCTCATACCTGTAATCCCAGCACTTTGGGAGGTTGAGGCAGGCAGATCACCTGAGGTCAGGAGTTGAAGACCATCCTGGCCAACATGGTGAAACCCTGTCTCTACTGAAAATATAAAAATTAGTTAGGCATGTGCCACCATGCCTGTAATCCCAGCTCCTTGGCAGGCTGAGGCAGAAGAATTGCTTGAACCTGGGAGGCAGAGCTCACTAGCTGAGATCATGCCACTGCACTCCAGCCTGGGTGACAGAGTGAGACTGTCTCAAAAAAAAAGGAAAAAAAAAAATTATAAATTCCTGCTTTCAGAGTAAAAAATACATTTATATAAATGTCTTTGTTTCACAGATGTGAAGGAGCTTTTAGATTCTGAAAGTGATAAGCCCTGCAAGGAAGAACCAATGGAAATAGACGATGATGTGAAAACAGAGTCACATGTAAATTGTCAGGAGAGTTCTCAAGTAGATGTGGTCAATGTTAGTGAGGGTTTTCATCTAAGGACTAGTTACAAAAAGAAAACAAAATCATCCAAACTAGATGGACTTCTTGAAAGGAGAATTAAACAGTTTACACTGGAAGAGAAACAGCGCCTCGAAAAAATCAAGTTGGAGGGTGGAATTAAGGGTATGGGAAAGACTTCTATAAATTCTTCAAAAAATCTCTCTGAATCACCAATAATAACAAAAGCAAAAGAAGGGTGTCAGAGTGACTCTATGAGACAAGAACAGAGCCCCAATGCAAGTAATGATCAGCCTGAGGACTTGATTCAGGGATGTTCAGAAAGTGATTCCTCAGTTCTTGGAATGAATGATCCTAGTCATACCACAAACAAACTTTATCCAAAAGATCAAGTGTTAGATAATGTCTCCATTCGGAGCCCAGAAACAAACTGTCAAAAACAAAATTCCATTGAAAATGACATAGAAGAAAATGTCTCTGAACCTGCTAGTGAAGGCCAGGAACCCAGTAAGAGTAAAACAAAGGGAAATGATTTTTTCATTGACGACTCTAAACTAGTCAATGCAGATGATATTGGTACTTTGATCTATAAGAACAAAAAAACGCTCATACAAGAGGAAAATGACACCATTGTTTCTTCTTCCAAGAGTGCTTTACATTCATCAGTGCCTAAAAGTACCAATGACAGAGATGCCACGCCTCTGTCAAAAGCAGTGGACTTTGAAGGAAAACTGGGATGTGACTCTGAATATAATAGCACTTTGGAAAATAGTTCTGATACTGTGTCTATTCACGATAGCAGTGAAGAAGATATGATTGTTCAGAATAGCAATGAAAGTATTTCTGAACAGTTCAGAACTCAAGAACAAGGTGTTGAAGGCCTGGAGCCATTAAAATGTGAACTGGTTTCTGATAAGTCCACTGGAAACTGTGAGGACAGGCTGCCGGGTAAGGTAACTGAAGCAAATGGTAAAAAATCAAGTCAGCAGAGGAAGTTAGAGGAGAAACCAGTTAATAAATATAGTGATCAAATAAATCTAAAAAATACCATTGACAAAAAGAATAATGAAAATGGAGAGTCTAAAAAGAAAGGACAGAGAACAAGTACATTTCAAATAAATGGAAAAGATAATAAACCCAAAATGTATTTGAAAGGTGAATGCTTGAAAGAAATTTCTGAGAGTAAAGTAGTAAGTGTTAATGTTGAACCAAAGGTTAATAATATAAATAAAATAATCCCTGAAAATGATATTAAATCATTGACTGTTAAAGAATCTGCTGTAAAGCCATTCATTAATGGTGATATCATCATGGAAGATTTTACTGAAAAAAACAGCTCCGAAACAAAGTCACATTTACTAGGTTCGTCAGATGCTGAAGGTGACTACCGACATAGCCTTGAGACCCTGCCATCAACCAAAGAGTCTGACAGTTCACAGACGACCACACCTTCACCATCTTGTCCAGAAAGCAATTCAATTAATCAGGTAGAAGATATGGAAATAGAAACTTCAGAAGTTAAGAAAGTTACTTCATCACCTATTACTTCTGGAGAGGAATCTAATCTCAGTAATGATTTTATTGATGAAAATGGTCTGCCCAGCAACAAAAATGAAAATGTCAATGGAGAATCTAAAAGAAAAACTGTCATCACAGAAGTCACCACGATGACATCCACAGTGGCTACAGAATCAAAAACTGTGATCAAGGTAGAAAAAGGCGATAAGCAAACTGTGGTCTCTTCCACAGAAAACTGTGCCAAATCCACCGTCACAACCACCACTACCACAGTAACCAAGCTTTCCACACCCTCCACAGGCAGCAGTGTGGACATCATCTCTGTAAAGGAACAAAGCAAAATCGTGGTCACCACGACAGTGACAGACTCCCTGACCACCACGGGAGGCACACTGGTTACATCTATGACTGTGAGCAAAGAGTATTCCACACGAGACAAAGTGAAACTGATGAAATTTTCAAGACCAAAGAAGACTCGTTCAGGTACAGCTCTGCCATCCTATAGAAAATTTGTTACCAAGAGCAGCAAGAAGAGCATTTTTGTTTTGCCTAATGATGACCTAAAAAAGTTGGCCCGAAAAGGAGGAATCCGAGAAGTCCCTTATTTTAATTACAATGCAAAACCTGCTTTGGATATATGGCCATATCCTTCTCCTAGACCAACCTTTGGTATCACGTGGAGGTATGTACTTTAAAATGTATTTGGGGGAGGGAGAAAATTTTAAAAAGAGTTATCTCAAAAGAATGTCTCATTTTTTAAAAATGAGACAATAGAGATAGGAAGCATATATTAATGGCCAAAGTAGTAATGGAAACAGGTTACAAAAAGCTTCAAAATTGGCCATCTGGTATGTACTAAAGTTTACTTAGGGAAAAATATTTAAAGACTTAAAATTTGAGGGAATCTTTTAAAATGAAATTCAGTTATAACTTTCGTAAGACAGAAGGAACATGTCAGACACGATTGTTTTTGTGGTCTAATTTTCTGAGTTACTGCTCTGGGAAGAAGATAATCACAGAATTGGATAAACACCAACTTTCTGGAGTGTTTGTATTCTGTTTTTATTAGGTAATTTGTAAAAAATAAGACAAAGAAATATGACAGTAAATTTCATAAAGCTTATAATGTGAAAACCTTCCTAATGTAATTTATTTGCATGATAAACATTTGTTTTGGAGTTCTGTTATTTATGTATGAATAGGTAGTCTCTAAGATTCCTTAGAAATTATTTTAAACCCAGAAATAGTCCTAATTTAAACTTTTCTGGGCACTTTAGGTTTAGGGGATGAGTCCTAAATAGATAGTGTTGGCAGTTGTAAAAATCATGTAGTATTATATTGGGAAGGATCTTAGAAATTCTTATCTTTTGTGGATGTACAGTAATTTGCCTCTGGCTGCAGAGACACAGGAATAGTGCCGGGTTTTCCTAAATCCCAGTCTAGTGCTTTATCTGCTATATCACATTTCACTTATTTGTCTTTGCTTTCTCCTTTTTCATGTCCTTGTCTTTATCTTTTCACCCCTGTAATTGAGAAGGATGGAACATAAACATTGAAAACATGAGAGTTTTCAGAACACCTTTAGAAATCAGAATCAGTCATAGTTGTAGTTAGATTTTACTAGGTTCCTCAAATTATTATGTCAGCGAGTTACTGAGCCGTTTTCATTTCTCTTTAGGCTTCATTTTTGTGTGTCTTTTAATATGTTTCCAGTTTCTTTAAAAATCACACTTTTTTGGTTTCCTTTATATTACAATCAGCTAGTATTAGGGAAAAAATGTAAGTATTCTCTATAAAGGAATTTATTAATACAACCAGTCATAGTTTGTTTGACCAAGTTTTTTATAACTCATCTTTTGATTTGAAATAAAATATCATCACTCCATTACACATTCAATAGAGACAGCTGAAAAGTACAATTTCTCTGCAGGGCCTGCAATGAAGGATTTGCAGAATCCTGCAGGGAATCAAGGAACTCTTCATTACAATTCATGGATTTATAGGATTACTCTGCACTTTTCTGCTTTCTTCATTGAGAGCGGTCCCAAAATGTATCCTTGACTGTCCTGCAGGTAACTTCTTTCCCACTGGAAAAGTTACTATGTACTACAGATACTTTAATTAAAGTGACCTTGCAGTTGTGGAGGCAGATCATTCTGTTCTTTGTATTCTGAAATGGAGGAGGGTAGGCTCAACTGGGAAGCACTCTTCTCTGAACTCTCCAGGAGAGTTAGGTGCTGGTCCTGATCAAGTGTTGTTCAGGGCCCTGTTGTGCACAGCTGAATATCAGGAGCCTCGTATTACCGTGTCTTAATATGCACTGTGGCACAGTTTGTATTACTTGATTTCTCATTTTTTAATGGAAGGAAATACCTTCCATTAAACATTTTACATTTTAAACCAATACTGCCTTCAAATGTATGCCAACATCTTAATTTGCTGAAACAAATTTGAGAGAAGCATAATCCTTTCTGTCTAATGAAGGCATGGATAAATATGTAAATTGATCATGACTTTAGAATGCATTTTTAAAAAGCAGATTGCTATAAAAAGCCATGCACGTGAAATGCATTTTTATACTAACACTTGAATAGAATACATCTGATGGTTAGGAGTTAAGAATGCCAAAGGTGCATGTATAATCTTTATTATTAATGTTAAGGCTGAGCAATATTGGAAAACTTGTCTCAATAGGGCCTCTTTTTCCCTCCACACTATGCATTCCCTTGTCCCCGTCCTCCCAGGCCCTGATTCTGTGCTTCATTATCATGTTGAACTGGTAGTTGTCCAGTGCTGCCAGAAAGATCCTCCTAAAATGCCCCTCTATCCTGTGAATAGTCTGACCGAGCTAAAGGACTTGCTAACTACTGCAGCAAGGACTGGGGAAAGCATTTGTCACCTGTAGATCACATTCATGGAAAGTACTTCCCTTTACAACCCATCCAGTACTGGATAAATCTTAGAGTACTTAATATACATACCCTTTAATGCTCTTCTTTAATCTTTCAATTTGGTACTGTGCATTCTGGCTTCTGCCTTTCTCTCTCATGCCACCTTCATCTCTTTCTGTACCTCCAGACCCTTTCCCTTCAGCCATAAAACACTGGATGTGGTTTCTGGGAAGAAATGTGTACTCCTGCAGACTTTCCTCTGTAGCATATGTGTGCCCCTTGCCTTTGATCAGCACCCCCATGCTCTTAACTTGTCCTTTGAGACTTCAGCAAAGCTCTGTTCTCCATTCCTAAGCCAACTCAGATGTCCCTCCCTTGTCCTTTCTTCTCTTACAGCTCCTTGAGAACACAGATTCTAGTTCACCTCTCTGTCCCCAGCTCCTTTTACATAGTCTAACACGTAGAAGATGCTCAAGTGTTTTTTGAATAAATGCTTGAATGAGCAGACTGATCATGCATGTGCTGTGTTCCTCCCCAGTGTTATTTTCATTTTAAAATAAAGATACTTTAAAGTCATTGTTTGACCATAGAGAATGAGGATGAACTTTTCCTTTCAAATATATTTTTTTTTCTCCTATGATACTAAAGATCCCTAGGAATTACTATGGGGGTGTGGTTTGAAACTGACAGACACTTACCCCTCTTGGGCCATCCCTGCACTAGTTAATATTTCCTCTCTGATTTCCTCTTGACCTACTCTGTCCAAGTCAGAGGATTCATAGTGCAGTAACACAATGGACAAAATAACGGTGTCACAAGTAGATACGGGAAGTTAAGAAGCTGCAGCAACTTTTTGGCTAGAGCTTTCCCTTTCTCACAGTGTTCATTTTTCCAACTAAATGCTATTGATAGAAAGCATTGCATTTCATGCCAGGCACAGTGGCTCACACCTGTAATCCCGGCATTTTGGGAGGCCGAGGCAGGCAGATCACCTGAGGTCAGGAGTTCAAGACCAGCCTGGCCAAGGTGGTGAAACCCTGTCTATACTAAAAATGCAAAAATTAGCCAGGAGTGGGGTGTGGGTGCCTATAATCCCAGCTACGTGGAGGCTGAGGCAGGAGAATCACTTGAACCTGGTAGGCAGAGGTTGCAGTGAGCCAAGATCACTCCACTGCACTCCAGCCTGGGCGACAGAGCAATACTGTCTCCAAAAAAAAAAAAAAAAAAGCATTGCCTTTCACATGCAGAGTTGTTTGTTTGAGATTTACCTTCCACCTCTGTTAGAGGAGGAAATTATTTTTTTTATATGCTTGGTCTACACCATAATCAACCACTAAGTTCATTTAAGTAGTGTGAAAATGCCAACAAAGTATTCAGTCACACAAAGATACAGTGAATTCCATTTTAGGACATGATATTTAATGCAGTTGATTGAATTTATTTTGAAATATGTTTTTAGTATTTTTTAAGAATGTCTAAAAATTTCTTTTTTTTTTTTTAAGACGGGGTTTCACCATATTGGTCAGGCTGGTCTTGAACTCCTGACCTCAGATGATCCACCCACCTCAGCCTCCCAAAGAGCTGGGATTACAGGCGTGAGCCACTGCGCCCGGTTTGTCTAAAATTTTTAATAACTCCACACACAATGTTTAGAAACAGACATGAACACAGATTTGTCTCTTAATAAGTAACTACTATGATATTATCCTTTTTCTAATATTATTCATTGTAGAATTTAAAAACTACACTTCTAATGCTCTTAAAGTTTTTATTAGTATTAGTATTATTCATCTTTCAGTCATTCATGTTTTAAAGAACCATCATTTGGATGTAAAAATTTTTTGTCTATTTGGAAAGGTCTTACTAGATTAGTAAGATGCTTTTGGTTTCATTTTATTCTTTTTTTTTTTTTTTTTTTTTTTTTTTTACAGGGGGTTTTGCTTTTTTCACCCAGGTTGGAGTGCAGTGGAATGCGGTGGCATGATCTCAGCTCACTGCAACCTCTGCATCCTGGGTTCAAGTGATTCTCCTGCCTCAGTCTCCCAAGTATCTGGGATTACAGGCGTGCATCACCATGCCGGGCTAATTTCTATATTTTTAGTAGAGATAGAGTTTTGCCATATTGGTCAAGTTGGTCTCAAACTCCTGACCTCTCAGCTGGTCCGCTTGCCTCGGCTTCCCAAAGTGCCAGAATTACAGGGGTGAGCCACTGTGCCCATCCTCATTTTATTCTTTTAGAAAATTTAAACATTTTCAGGTTTTTTGTTTTAGTGAAAGTTACTCAAGATTTTTCCTTCCAAACTCCTTATCACCTTTAATAACAGTTATTTATTTCTCTATATTTGGTCTTCTTCAAAATTTTTCTAACGGATATTTTGAAATTAGGTAAATCTTCATGATTTTACAACCTTACAATGAAATATACTCTAAAATGAGTATATTTATATAAATATATATATTTATATGGCATTAAAGTGAATATAAGTCCTTTTTTAAAAAAATTGAGGTACACATTATTCTTATGAACAAAATTTTTCTTTTAAAGGACACATAATACCAAAGTCTTGCAAAACCATGCTATAAATACTGAAGTCATAATGAGGACAAGAAACACAGCCCTTCAGTTTAGTAGAGTGAATGTGAATGTGTATGTGTATATATACATATAGATATATGTATGGATTTCTTTGGTTTTCCTTTCAGGTATAGACTTCAGACTGTAAAGTCCTTAGCTGGAGTGAGCCTGATGTTACGGTTACTGTGGGCGAGCTTAAGATGGGATGATATGGCAGCCAAGGCTCCTCCAGGAGGAGGGACTACACGGACAGGTAAGGGGGGGTAGTTATTTTCTAAATTAAGTTTAAAAGCTAAAATCACTTGCTTGTTCATTTAATTTTAAGCATCTCTGTTTTCTTATTAAATGCTTATATTTTTAAAATACAGCTTTGGCCATGTGTGGTGGCTCTCACCTGTAATCCTAGCACTTTGGGAGGCCAAAGCAGGAGGATCACTTTGGCCAGGAGTTTGTGACTAGCTTGGGCAACATAATGAGACATTGTCTCTACAAAAATCTAATTAAAAAAGTAAAAAGTCAACCAGGGCCGGGCGCGGTGGCTCAAGCCTGTAATCCCAGCACTTTGGGAGGCTGAGGCGGGTGGATCACGAGGTCAAGAGATCAAGACCATCCTGGTCAACATGGTGAAACCCCGTCTCTACTAAAAATACAAAAAATTAGCTGGGCATGGTGGCACGTGCCTGTAATCCCAGCTACTCAGGAGGCTGAGGCGGGAGAATTGCCTGAACCCGGGAGTCGGAGGTTGCGGTGAGCCAAGATCGTGCCATTGCACTCCAGCCTGGGTAACAAGAGCGAAACTCAGTCCCAAAAAAAAAAAAAAAAAGTCAACCAGGCCTGGTGACAGGTGTCTTTAGTCCCTGCCACACATGGGAGTCTGGGGCCAGGAGGATTGCTTGAGCCAGGAATTCAAGGTTGCAGTGACTGTGGGCCACCAATGTAACTCCAGCATGGACAACAGAGCAAAACCCTGTCTCTAAAAAAAAATTTTTTTTTCAAATATGGCTTTGCTAAAGTTTGGCACATGCTATAAAATCCCTGGGGCTGGAAGGGAAAGTTCAGATTATAAAGTGCGTTACTTATGTGTGAACCAGTCTACATTTTTTAAAAGATATTCATTATTGTTTAATTAAAAATTTTAACTAATCCTTCTGGAGCCTTGTTGTTGCTGCTTCTGTCCTAGGCTTTTTATTATTTTGATTGAGTTTTGCCACCAGGAGCTCAGCTATACCTAGCAGCATTTTGTTTCGTTTAGAAATTTGCAGTGAGGAAGAAGCATGGTATTATTGCAGTCTGGCAGTGATCCTGTTAAATGTTAATGATCCTATTAATCAGTCAAATGTTTCCTAAAGTTTATTTCATGTGTGTCTCTTTTTGAAAGCACCAGATGTACCTTTTTAGTCTCTGAGTATTTCAGTTGGTTTTTAATACTGTGTGAATTAAATTACCATAGAAACATCTGAATCTGAAATTACAACAACAGAAATAATTAAGAGGAGAGATGTTGGTCCTTATGGCATTCGATCTGAATATTGTATTAGGAAAATCATTTGTCCCATTGGAGTTCCAGAAACACCAAAAGGTAAGGAATAGAAAGAATTCTGTTCTTTCATTATTAACCTGTTAGCCATGTATTTTATTGAAATTTGATTATTTTTTCTTCTCTCCATTCAACTTTTTAAAAATACATTTTTTACAACCCAAATTTTGAAAATGATATTTAAGTAGTAAACATATCAAGATTCTATTAGACACACAGTGATGCCTGTAAGACTTGTTCCCAAGCACAGCAGAGAGCTATAATAAAACTCTTGTAATTAAGGTGGGAGGCATTGATTGATACCAGACCAGCAGCTCCTAGAGAGCAGCCATCTCATCTGTCTGGTTAGTGGAAGTCCTGGCAACTAGTACTGAGTCTGACATGTAAGTGGTCAATAAAGGTTTCTTAAGGATTAAAACTATTGTGAAATACTTCAATAGTCAAGGTAGAAATAATCTAAGAGGCATAAAGAGTTACTCAAGAAATATTTATCTTGCACCAATACGGTAGGCACTGGGTGGCAAATACATAGAAAAATGAGACTTGGCCCCTAATCTCAAGGAAGCAAAGAAAAGCTTTTATGGTATTGTAATATCATTGTTACATGTGTTGCAATAAGATAAGAGAGTAATATTGGAAAAGAAGCAAGATTAACATTATTTTGTAGGTAATTATGAATGTCTGCTTAGAAAATTAATGCGAATTAAAAGTATTAGCCCTAAAAGGAGTTCAGTGTAGTATCCAAATTGAAAATATATAAACTCCATTTTATTTTATATAAACAATAAAAATATTTAGGTAAAAGACCTAGTAAGAAATGTATAAAAATTATACATTTTATACATCTCTTCAAAAATTACAAAAATATTGGTACCAGTGCACTCCTGTAATCCCAGCTACTCAGGAAACTGAGGCCTGAGAATCACTTGACCTGGAAGGTGGAGGTTGCAGTGAGCTGAGATCGCACCACTGCACTCCAGCCTGGGCAACAGTGAGCTGTGTCGAATGAATGAATGAATGAATGAATGAATGAATGAATGAATGAAATGTCCTTAGTTAGAAACATAGTGTTTTTATAAAAGTCGTTCTCCCCAAATATATACATTTAATTTTTGAAGCTTGATTAAATTAACTTGGGAGTTCTTAGAGAATAAATGAGAATAAACTTTTTGAAAAGAGCACCAATGAAACAACACCTGTTCCTAGTGGATGATAAATTTTAGCTTAATTAAAACAGTGGCCAAGCACGGTGGCTCATGCCTGTAATCACAGCACTTTGGGAGGCTGAGGCGGGTAGGTCATTTGAGATCAGGAGTTAGAGACCATCTGGCCAACATGGTGAAACCCCATCTCTACTAAAAATACAAAAATTACCCAGACATGGTGGTACATGACTGTAGTCCCAGCTACTCGGGAAGCTGAGGCACGAGAATCAGTAAGCCCAGTACGGGAAGATTGCAGTGAGCTAAGATCACACCACTGCACTCCAGCCTGGTCAACAGCGTGAGATTCTATCTCATAAAACAAAACACAAGGTTGTCTTGGCACAGAAAGAGCTCTGTTGATGGGCAGAGACACAGATGGGAAATGTACCTACCTGACAGACCTTCAGTCTCCTTGACCCCACAGCCTTTCATGCAAACCACTGCAGTCCCCTGAAATCACTTTTCTTTGGCTTATATCACTTGGTACAATTCAGGTCCTACTACCATTTCCAATTCCTTCTGCTGCTTCCTTGTGATTGAATATATTCCTACTTTTCATTTTTTAAATCTTGTTATGAGGAGATTGTATCTGTTCTTAGGTTTCAGCTCTCCATTTTATATTGGTACCTCTCAAATCCCCCTTCTCTGTGCGGTGATAGGGAAATGCCCAGGTGTGAGAAGGACATACGAGGCTTTTGTAGGAAGTTGTATTCGTGGTGGGGTCTGAAGGATGAATTGACATTAGTCCGACGATGGGGCAGGGGCTAGGAATAGTGCTTCAGGTGGAGGAAACAGGTTGGATGAAGGCTTATAAGCCTTTTATTTCAGAGGTCAGCAAACTGCAGCCATGAGGCTTGGCCTACCCTGCTTTTACTAATGAAATTTGATAGGCACACAGCCACATTTTAGTCACTTACGTATTGTCTTTGGCTGCTTTTGTGATACAAAGGCACAGCTAAGTAGCTGCAGCAGAGACCATCTAGCCCTTTAAGAAGAAAAGTTTGCCAACCACTACTTTTCATGATCGAAGATGCCAGAAGGACTTTAATTTTAGAAGCAATATTGCTTAAAATATTCTGATTTCCTTTCCAAAGAAACGCCTACACCTCAGAGGAAAGGCCTCCGATCAAGTGCACTGCGGCCAAAGAGACCAGAAACGCCCAAGCAAACTGGCCCTGTTATTATCGAAACCTGGGTAGCAGAAGAAGAGTTGGAATTGTGGGAGATCAGGGCATTTGCTGAGAGGTAAGGAAACGGTTAATATACCTGGTCAGCTATTTGAAGATTTTATCACTTCAGAATCAAGAAATTATTTTGTGTGTGTGTGTGTGTGTGTGTGTGTGTATATATATATATACACACACACACACACA